TTCTTCAGAACCAGGAAGACTGGTGAGTGGAATCCTTTGGTGGTGTCTGACTCTTTTAATGCACTGATGGCACCCTTGTCTAAAACTTTTTGTATGGCCAAGTTCGTGGCAGCTAGCTTGGCCTTGCCAGATGGAATCAGTACCCTACGGGATGGACCACAAGGTTTGGGAGTTGAAGAAAATGGAACTTTTAGACTTCCTCATAGGAAGAGGTGATGCAATTAGCAAAGCCACACATCCGAAACCAGCTGTGCCGAGGTGAGCTATGGTAATGAGGTGGCACACTGTCTTGGTAATCTGACCTGTGGCTTGAGCTGCACGAGGCACGTGCAGAACAAACGCGATAGGAAAATGGACGCCGTAAGCTTGGCAGTCCCGCATAATGGTAAGTGAAGGGATACAACATCTCCACAAGTTTTCTCTGCTCATCTGGATTCATGTTGTTGATAACTCAGAGGAGATATCTAAAAGGTATAGTAAAACTTAAATATATTACACATTTGTATATTTATCCTGCACTAATCCTTAATGCATTTACTGCTGTTTTTTGACAGAAAGACGAAGCAGTGAAAGGTCCAGATGCAGAAGAAGTTGTTCCAACCAGTGGTGTAGCAATACCCTCACACAGCTGCCATGTGATCTGGAAGTGGTGAGTCACATAGGAGCACATTACAGCTTAGAACTTAACATCTGAGCACTTGGTGGGGAGGTAATGCATCACTTAGACAAAGTAATGCAGGAGAAGTATACAAATGTAAAAAATATTTAGATTTTACTAAAATTTTAACTTATCCTGCATTACTCCTTAATGCATCTCTATCAGACAGTATGGCAAGGACAGTGTCCGAGCACCAGAAGCAGCCTTCCATAATGACGTGGATGCAGCTATTGCTGTGAGGCGCCAGGGTAGAGGCAACCGCCTGGATTTCAAGTGGGTTGCTGGCTCTAGGAAGGTCCAGTCCAGTGGCCTTATAAGCCTGAAGAATGATGGCACGAAGCCATAGGGCAACTTCTCTAGGGCTGATTTCCACCTCCATGCGCTCTGCACTCAATTTTAACATGGGAGATGTCCAGAGTATGTAGCTCGCTCACCCGTGCCGCTGTAGCCAGAGCCAAGAGGAAAACCATCTTCTTTGTGAGGTTGTAGTAATACGCAGAGTGGAGTGGTGTAAAGGGTTTGCCTCTTGGCAGGGTAAGCACCACATTCAGGCCCCACGCTGTGGGTCTGAACTTGGCCTTCTGGTCTTCCAGACAAAAACGACTAACAACTGGAGATCTGTAATATTGAAAAATGACCAAGAGATAAGGCCACAAGGTAGGTCGTGATGGTGCTTGCCCTATACAGATGACTCTTTTGGTGACGATGAAAGGTGGTGCCTCGCTACTGCGTGTGTTGGCATCTGAGGTCAATATTGATATACAGCCACATACATATGATCAAGTGGTTGCAGCAATACGTACAAGTCAGGTGGGGTCTTGACACTGGACATGTCAATCACCCTGCGCAGTAGCCGAGTAAGCTGCATGTCAGCCGGAAATTAGGTGACACATACAGACAATCCCCAGTGAACTGTGTGGTAGACAGACAAGTGGTGTTCCCGAGTTTTGTGAAGAATGTGTGACTTGACTGGTGGAGGAGCAAAATGATCACTATAATATATTGAGACCCCTCATCTTGATCTGCCAATGATGACCCTGAGGTGGGTACCTGGCAGCCTATGACGAATCTGTCAAATGGCTAATAAAGTGTGAATAGTGATGATCTACAAGTTCCCGTAGAGATAATGTCTACCAGGAACGTTGCGAGCCAAGTTCAGCAGGAGTACTATCTGTGGACTCGGTCGCCCAACATTGATCGTACCACTGATGAGACAGGAAAAAAGGCGGGTGGAAGAGAGCTATGAATTCAATGAAAGCCAAGCAAGCAGTGTAAAAGCATGACTAAGCGGTCTTATGATAGTAGTATAATTATCATGGTAGATTATCAGTTACTAAGAATTTAGACTGAAACCCCCTAAAGTTGATTTATGCTGTTTTCTTAGAACGGATTTGTGTTATAAAGTGAGTGAGTGAGTTTGATTTTACGCCGCTTTTAGCAATATTCAAGCAATATCATGGTGGGGGACACCAGAAATGGGCTTTACACATTGTACCCATGTCGGGAATCGAACGAGCGAACGCTTTAACCACCAGGCTACTCGACCGCCCCTTTGTGTTATAAACATGACGTCAGATTATTATCAGGTTGTAAGGAAATGGTTATTCATCAGAAGCCTGTGATTGCATAATTTGTTTTGGGTAAACAGTACCTGACTGCCATGTGTGTTTAACGCATGCGCAGACATACTGTATTAAAACAGGAATGTGAAAACATTTGTTCATCTTATCTATTGGATTCGTTTGCTTCAGGTGAGGAATCAATGCATAGATACACATTCCCCTTGTCCCACAAATCATATAGATCATGTTGTATGTTTTTATGTATGTATCAACACACAGTAAGTCTGGAATTTAAGTTTTAGAAGCCAGCAAGCCCGTCATCGTGTTGTCTCTAAACAATCCGCTGTCAGTTGAAGATGTTCTTTCAGTCTGTGTTCAAACAAGCACAGGGTTCTGTTTCTTGTGTATGATAGTGTTATTTGTATTTCTCTGAGATCAAGATAAATATTTCATGTCAAGTTTGATAAATTTGATATCAGGTTTGATAAAACATTTTGAGAATTTGTATGCATTTTATCATGTAAAGGGAGATAACTGATCAGTGATTATTGTCAGTTGTCAGACATGGACTTCAGTCAAGAATAGCCTTTTATTGGTACAGTTTTATGTAAATATAACAACTGTAGTTAAGCAAAAACTTCAGAGTAATATGTGTCATAGAAATTATCATAGATGAGTTTATTCATAATGTCATTAATGTGGAAAGTAAGTCTGTTTCCATGTGTATTAAGGTTATCCACTGTATGTAAGAAATATCAGAGCGTGGCCATGTGGTGGTTCAAAATGGCGGATTGGAACAACAAAATTCCCATAATTACTGCAATTAAAATGAACAAACGAACTGGGATTTATTAGAAATTACGTATGGATAACACCAAAAAGACCCAAACCATAAACTACAACACAATAGCAAGTGAAAATGAAACATTAATAGAAGAAAAGGATGCTTGAAAACTGCAGAGGCTTTATTTCTCAACAACATGTCTGTCCATGTTGACTGGCAAAGCAGTAATGTGTTCTTATGTGATGTCAACACTTCTTCTGCAGTTGGACCTCTTACAGCTTCGTCTTTGTCAAAAACAGCAGTAAATGCATTAAGGAGTAATGCGGGATAAGTTATATAATTATACTTTTAGAAAACTCATTCATTTTTAAAGGGGATGAGTGGGATCATAAGGGGCTCTGAGGCCTCTTTCAAACCTACCTGACCAGCCCAGATGCCAGTGGATTGACATCCAGATAAGTACACCTGTTTCTTTTCATCCTGAGAGGGGCGGTCGGGTAGCCTAGTGGTTAAAGCGTTCGCTCGTGACGCCGAAGACCTGAGTTCGATTCCCGACATGGGTACAATGTGTGAAGCCATTTCTGGTTTCCCCGCCATGATATAGCTGGGATATTGCTGGAATATTGCTAAAAGCGGTGTAAAACCATACTCACTCACTCTTGTCATCCTGAGGCGGATGGGATGGGCAACAAGTAAGTGAGAGAGTTAAAATTTAAAGTCATATCGACAGTATTTCAGCCATATCATTATTACAAAAAGTTATACATAAAGAATCAACAAAGGACATTAAATAACCAGACTATCACAGATTAATATTTAAAAGTTGTATGTAACCAAAAAGAGATATCACTATACATCCCAATATATGATAAAGCTTTAGATCACCAGTAGAACTAGGGACGATGGCTACTTTTGCTACCTGCATGGACTCCAGGAGGATTTACATCATGCCTTCAGGTGTTGAGTGACAATTCGCTAAACTAAAAGAACACACATTCTACGATCAAAACTGTGGCAGTAATAAATATACTTTGTATGACATGGTCTTACGTACCCTATCCAATGGACAATTATTTTACACTACTTCAACCCCTTTGGAGGTACAGCCAATTACAATTTCAGGTATCAAATTAAATCTACCAATTTTAAAAAGTAATTTATTTCGTAGAGGCCTGATTTTAATCAAAATTTATGAAACAATTCTAATTCTTTTAAAAAACAACATAATTAAATGAATGCTTAAGTGTCCCTCAGTGGAGAAAAGCAATCCCAGAAGAGACACTTTGTAGTTGGTCCGGTGGACTTTTTGGCCGATGTTGTGGTTTTCCAAGATGTTTTCAATTTAGTTCCCTTCCCCACACCTCAGAAAGTTGATCAAATGTCTCCTTACACAGATGTTTGCAAAAGTTGCATCTCAAACTTGGAGAACACATACTCTTGTTGCTTGACCCGCATGGGGGGGGGGGATCTCCAATCACTTGATCAATGTCGCACCCTGAGCACACGCCAGATGGCAGTGGAGGGGGACAGTTTCTAATCTGCTTACGGAGCTGTTAGATTTTGTTCTCAGCTTGTCCATAAGATGATCTCAAGAAAATACAGTGTGAAATACCAAACCAAACGTTTTAGATACGATCAAAATGTTTTGATTGCTTACATTTGGACACAAAGGAAAGAAGTGACGTTTTCCTGCCTCGTGCATGCACAGTTGCATTAGTGAGGAGGATAGGCTTTACCTCACAATTATTTGATATTGTTGGCAGTGAAGAGGACATCTGTTGAAAAATCTAAAGATTTTATGGTGTGATTAGAGCCCAAACAGGAATTTATGGCTATGTAATACAGGTAAGGTATTCAAAAGAATGATGATGATTAATAGCACAATAAATTAAGAGGTATTATTTTTTGGGATGACTTGACTTGAAGTTGAGCCAAGGTCATTAAACTGTACATGCACAGAAATTGAGTTTTTAAATCATAAAAAGAAACGACTTACCAAGAAGCTACCTAGTGCAGAATTAAATATTGCAGCAGCCTGGAAAAGAATTAATTTGCATAATTAGATGTTGCAAACAGCTCAAGGGCAAGGGCAGAAGTAATCTTGTATATTAGGACCTAACCTCCTCAAAACTTTTTCATCAATAGTTGACTTAACTATTGCAGGATGTGGAGTCATACATATGATATCCATACCTTGCCACCTTGACAGGGCTGACTTCTTTGGTCATGTGTACCCCACCTCAGATCAGAACGTCCATGTTTGGAATCCAAACACAGGACTTGGGCGTTTCATGGTGCTACATTGGTGTCTAATGTGGGCTGAGAATGTTCTTAACATATAGGAGCATCATAGTCTCAGTATCCTACTCTGCAGAGTGGCGTCAGGAGGTCCATGGTTGGAATCCCATGACAGGTAACCGTACCTGTCTTACACACCTTAGGACTTGTCAATGTATCATACACATTCCAGTCTTGCACACCTTAGGACTTGTCAATGTATCATACACATTCCAGTCTTGCACACCTTAGGACTTGTCAATGTATCATACACATTCCAGTCTTGCACACCTTAGGACTTGTCAATGTATCATACACATTCCAGTCTTGCACACCTTAGGACTTGTCACCTGACCTTCAACCACTGATTCCACTGGAAAAATCCAACTTTGTAACGAGTGCCACAGTATTGAAGCTCCACTTTATTCAGTGATATAACAAGAATCTGAATATGCAGTATATTATATACTTAGCCTACGATGACAGTGTGCAACTTGCTTCACATCTTTGATATGCATACCACAGAGTGAAAATAGATCGCCCCTAAATGACGGTCACCCATATCAGATTATCTGCCCTTGATTCTACTTGCTTCAATACAGATGGGAGGATGTTCGACATAATGAAGGGAGGCTGGGTGAGCCTTACCTCTGTAACGTCAGGCAAATATATAATATTCCAAATATTTAGATCCCTGTAAATGTAAACTATCCTGCTATGACAATGTGCATATCCCGGGGCCTGGATACACACTGCCCTGGGTAACTGGATCGCATGAGAACTTACTGTTCCAGTTCTGTAGTCATATCAACAACACCCCAACAGTATGGAGATACAATGTGACCACAGGAGGACCTAACAATAGTCTGCAAGCTTTGCTAAAGCATCTGAGTCATCTGCTGCAGTGCCAGACTAGGAGGGCCATATTGATCAAGTCTAGACAAGGATTCCATGACATATACCTCAGATAGTACTTTGCTTTGGCATCCGATTTCCCAAATCTGACATGTTCATGTGAAGAGCAAGGGTGGACGCCAACCATCGTATTTCCTAGGTCACTGTCTGCCTGAGGGGGTGGCTGTCCAGCATGATGACAGCCTCCAAGATTGTCGACTGTAACAATCATAATGAGATAGAGACGAGATAGGGTATTGATCACAACCCTTGTGAGGTCACTCTGGAGGGTGGTAGGTAAGAGGTAGAGTCACCGACAACGGTAGACGATATCCCCAGTAGAGGGTATTGATCACAACCCTTGTGAGGTCGCTCTGGAGGGTGGTAGGTAAGAGGTAGAGTCACCGACAACGGTAGACGATATCCCCAGTAGAGGGTATTGATCACCGACCCTTGTGAGGTCACTCTGGAGGGTGGTAGGTAAGAGGTAGAGTCACCGACAACGGTAGACGATATCCCCAGTAGAGGGTATTGATCACCAACCCTTGAGAGGTCACTCTGGAGGGTGGGAGGTAAGAGGTAGAGTCACCGACAATGGTAGACGATATCCCCAGCAGAGGGCACTGATCACCAACCCTTGTAAGGTAGCTCTGGAGGGTGGGAGGTAAGAGGTAGAGTCCCCCACAGCGGTAGACAATATCCCCAGTAGAGGGTATTGATCATAACCCTTGTGAGGTTGCTCTGGAGGGTGGTAGCTAAGAGGTAGAGTCACCTGCAGAGGTAGACGATATGCCCAGTAGGGGGTACTGATCACCAACCCTTGTAAGGTTGCTCTGGAGGGTGGGGAGGTAAGAGGTAGTGTCACACACAGCGGTAGACGATATCCCCAGTAGAGGGTATTGATCACCAACCCTTGTAAGGTAGCTCTGGAGGGTGGGAGGTAAGAGGTAGTGTCACACACAGCGGTAGACGATATCCCAAACAGAGGGCACTGATCACCAACACTTGTAAGGTCGCTCTGGAGAGAGTTAGGTAAGAGGTAGAGTCACACACAGCGGTAGATGATATCCCCAGCAGAGGGTATACTATTGATCACCAACACTTGTGAGGTCGCTCTGGAGGGTGGGGGGTAAGAGGTAGAGTCACACACAGTGGTAGTTGATATCCCAAGCAGAGGGCACTGATCATCAACCATGCCTGCGTATAACTTGCTGCAACAGTAGTCTTAAGCCAGACCGCCATCGTTGCCTTGGTGATGTCCTTGTTGGGATGTTGGTTGGTTGGTTTGTTGTTTAACGCCGCACTCAGCAATATTCCAGCTATATGACGGCAGTCTGTAAATAATCTAGTCTGGACCAGACAACCCAATGATTGATATCATGAGCATCGATCCACGCAATTGGGATCAATGACATGCATCAACCAAGTCAGCGAGCCTGACCACCCGATCCCGTTAGTCGCCTTTTACGACAAGCATAGTCGCCTTTTACGGCAAGCATGGGTTGCTGAAAACCTATTCTACCCCGGAACTTCACGGGTCGGTCACCAAGGTTACTCTTCACGAAGGAAAACCAAGCTTTCGTATTTTTGTAAATTACAGAAGTCAACTTCATTGAATCTTCATGTTATCCAATGCACACAATGAAGAGCACACCAAAAAATCTACGGAAGTCAAATAATCCATGGTACCCTTTTATTTTTGTTATTTTACTTTAATAAATCTGTTTGATATTAAAAGTAATATTGTATTTTGTGTCATTTTAAGATGTTTTATAATCATTACATTGTTGAGAGATTGTCAAATTGTTTTGAGCATGTTAATACTAATTCATTAGATATCAAAACAAGAATCTTCAGAGGGTGACAAATCCCCTGAAGAAAGCGCTAAAGTCACACATTCTGTAACCGGCTGCTGAAACAAACTTATTTGTGGGATTGGCCTAAATCAACCACACGGCAGGGACAACTGTTTTCATTGGCTGTGTAAATACAGACATAAAGCCCATAACTGTCGTTCGGAATACCCTGTGTGTTGTTTTTTTAGGTTACACGATAAAAAATCATATTCCAACTGTCACTTTCATGATCTGCTAAGCGATGCTCTGATTGGTCAGATGAAAGGTTTTTCTGACATGACCGGTAACAGGATGTCCTCAGATCTTTGTTTAGAGTTAGCGATCTGATTTTAATGAGATTGTTTTCTTATGAACATCCATCCAAAATTTGAAAAAACAATATGTCCATTGGTTTCTGAGGAGATACTGGTCATACTGAAAATCAGATTCCAAACCCCAAATTGTGATGTCATCACTGGTGGAAACAAACAGGCAATTTTAGCTTCATTGGTCTTGTGATGTCTGAGGAGATTAGTGAGTAGGGTTTTACGCCATTTTTAGCAAATACCCCAGCAACATCAAATTAGAAAACAGCAGTTATTACGTTTCACTGAACATTTTTAAGTTGAAGAGACATCCATGATCTCCTGCCCTTGCTATGTTAGAAGCAAGTACTACATCAAAATGCACCTCTGTCAGATGGGAACTACTTCAACTACACAGAATTCATCTTCAGAACCAGTATAGCTAGCTACGAAGATAATACATCACTCAGGAAAAAAAATATGTTCCCATACTGTTCATGGGCCAAGGGAGACAACTGTGTACTCTGGGCATGTATGTTTTTTGTTGACAATTCACAAACTCTTCCATGTCGATTCAAATGGTGGCCTTTTTATGGAAATGTATTCCTGGTTAGGTGATAATATCCTATCACTAGTTGTAGCCAGGAAAATGTCAAACAGTTATATGAGTATCTTATTGATATATCCAGCTGATTACAAGGAAGGGAGTTTTTAGTTCAATGCTCTTGGGCAGACAGAATGTGCATAAACACATCAGACTAACCTCATTGCCACCAGCTGCCTTTGTGAGTAGAACTGCTGAGGAGACAGGAGGCGGCATACAGCTCAGGAGTCTCAATCTGAAAAATACAAAATGGTCATCAGAATATGTCCTCAGCATATTGAGAGCAGTGTATATTATGCTGTCCACTAGACTGAGTACTTACATAATACAGCTGATAGGGTCTACCTCGACCAATTCCATCGCAATGTACCCAGGAACAAACGTTTACATTCCAAGGATTAATGGCCTCCATATTACCAAGCTTTATTACAATTCTATAGAAAATGAAAATGGACCCGAACAGGGACTGGAAAACAGCCTCAGTTGGGTGCTTTCAGAATCTGCAACACACATGGTTACAGTGCTGATCAACTTGAAGATGAAAGAAATCCAGTGCGTAAGAAATAACACTGCTACATTAGTGTCAATATTAGCATTCACAGGAGAAGAAATTTCAAAGTGAGTGGGTAAGCATTATTGTAAGATGAGGCACATTACCCAGCCAGCAGGTGAGTTTACAATGGACTGGTCTGCAGGAGGGGTAAGCACTATTGTAAGATGAGGCACATTACCCAGCCAGCAGGTGAGTTTACAATGGACTGGTCTGCAGGAGGGGAAAGCATTTTTATAAGAAGAGACATATTACCCATCCAGCAGGTGAGCTTCCAGTGGACTGGTCTGCAGGAGGAGGACCACAATGTGCAGCAGGAAGGGGATCACAATGAAGGTGAAACATTGCACAAACAAATGGACATTCACTTGGCACAGAGCAGCAGTCAGTTTCTGAAAAAATAAAATTCATCCCAGGGATAGAAATGTATACTATTTCAAATTAACCACAAGACACTCACATAGATGTTTAGGTGTTTTATGTGTTCTGAAATGTTTTGCTACTTTCCAATCATGAAACAATAGTTTTGTTAATAATTCAAAGAATACTGCCTCTATTACATCAATGCCTAATTCCCGTAATTTGGTTTGTAATCACACTAAAACAATTTTAAGATCTTCAACCAAAGTCCTCTTCACTGTCAATGTCCATAATTTGTCGTGATAGTAAAAATATCTTGCCTCCCTTGCTTTCTGCACATGAGCACGGCAAGAAAATCTTACTTCTTTCCAAAATCTAAGTTCTAGGTAGACACAATTTTATGGATAACAACTTCTTTTATTCTGTGAAAAGCGACGTTTCGGTATAGATCCTTATACCATTGTCAAGCAAGACTAATGCCAAGTGAATGTCCAGTCTTGCTTGACAACGGAATAGGATCGATCTATACCGAAACGTTGCTTTTCACAGAATTAAAGAAGTTGTTATCCATAAAATTGTGTCTACCTTGTCATCCCTCAACTTCTAAGTAATGCCTATCAAACAATTTATCTAAGTTCTAGATTCAAAATACTGGGGATGTGGGTGGGCTTACTTGTTATGTAACAGACTGATTATTTGTTAAATTATCGACAATGATAACTAATGCTCGATCATGCTTATGAATACTCTACCTTTTTTACACCAACTCCTGAATATACCAGAGGGACTGATGGGTTCTGAGATCTAGCAACGTTTTGGATAGTCAACAACTTTTGAAACTTTTTGAAACAAGTTGAGGTCATTTCTTCACTTTTAACTAATGGGACACTTGATAGATCCTTAAAACACAAGGCATCATAGCGACGTTAAAACCATCTCACTCACTCACTCACTCACTCACTCACAAAGCCATGGACTCTGGTAAAGATCTTATGGTAATGGAGCTCCAATTCTTTGCATGTGAGACATTTGAAACGTAGAAAGCATGAAGTTCTGAAACTCCGGCAGCAGTAAGAATGCTGTCTTCCTCAATGTTTCTAGCAATGAGGCCTCTCTCTCTGATTGCAACACACAACTGCCTGGAGGCCTGTGGCAGGTAGATTTCATGTCCGGCCCATTGTTCAAATTTGAATGGGTCCTAATGGCCTGCAGTAAATTTGCATCTCGATTTATTTCTCACAATAACCTGAGGGTCTGAAGAGTTTAGTCAGGGCCTGCAGCTTCTAATGTCTGTGAGTCCTGATGGTGTCCTGGCATATTTTTTTTTAATTTCGAAAACTGGGTCAACTGTTCCAGAGACTGGTTCATTGCCAGGTCACTTGAAGTAAATTGAGACAATCAGTTTTCACTCATCCCAAAGTCTCCTCTCAGTGAGCAAATATGTGTTTTGCATATGTCAGCCATTGATCTACTGGCCAGGATGTTCCTCCCAGCTTCAACAAATGCTGGTTCAGCTGTAATCTGCATGTTGGAGGTAACACAGACAAAAGTACTGCCCAAGGGAATGATTGCTACTTTTCAATCTTGGAAAACCGCTTGACTAAGACCAAACAAAGTTGTATGACCTTCCAGGGATACCAAGCACCCCAGCTGATGTCCAGAACAAAAAACTATACAAGGCTACCATACAGTCCAGTGGATGTCCAGAACACACAACTATACAAGGCTACCATACACTCCAGTGGATGTCCAGAACACTCCACCATACAAGGCTACCATACAGCCCAGCGGACGTCGAGAACACACCACTATACAAGGCTACCATACAGCCCAGCGGATGTCCAGAACACACAACTATACAAGGCTACCATACAGTCCAGTGGATGTCCAGAACACACAACTATAAAAGGCTACCATACAGCCCAGCGGACGTCGAAAACACACAACTATACAAGGCTACCATACAGTCCAGTGGATGTTCAGAACACACAACTATACAAGGGTACCATACAGCCCAGCGGATGCCCAGAACACACAACGATACAAGGCTACCATACAGTCCAGTGGATGTCCAGAACACACAACTATAAAAGGCTACCATACAGCCCAGCGGATGTCCAGAACACTCAACTATACAAGGCCACCATACAGTCCAGTGGATGTCCAGAACACACAACCATACAAGGCTACCATACAGCCCAGTGGATGTCCAGAACACACAACTATACAAGGCTACCATACAGCCCTGAGGATGTCCAGAACACACAGCTATACAAGTATACCATACAGCACAGCAGATGTCCAGAACACACAACCATACAGTCCAGTGGATGTCCAGAACACACAACTATACAAGGCTACCATACAGCCCAGCGGATGTCCAGAACACACAACTATACAAGGCTACCATACAGCCCAGCGGATGTCCAGAACACACAACTATACAAGGCTACCATACAGCCCAGCGGATGTCCAGAACACACAACTATACAAGGATACCATACAGCCCAGCGGATGTCCAGAACACACAACTATACAAGGATACCATACAGCCCAGCGGATGTCCAGAACACACAACTATACAAGGATACCATACAGCCCAGTGGATGTCCAGAACACACAACTATACAAGGATACCATACAGCACAGCAGATGTCAAGAACACACAACCATACAGTCCAGCGGATGTCCAGAACACACAACTATACAAGGCTACCATACAGCCCTGCGGATGTCCAGAACACACAACTATACAAGGATACCATACAGCAGTGCGGATGTCCAGAACACACAACTATACAAGGCTACCATACAGCCCAGCGGATGTCCAGAACACACAACTATACAAGGCTACCATACAGCCCAGCGGATGTCCAGAACACACACCTATTCAAGGCTACCATACAGTCCAGTGGATGTCCAGAACACACAACTATACAAGGCTACCATACAGTCCAGCGGATGTCCAGAACACACAACTATACAAGGCTACCATACAGTCCAGTGGATGTCCAGAATACACAACTATACAAGGCTACCATACAGTCCAGTGGATGTCCAGAACACACAACAAAACAAGGCTACCATACAGTCCAGTGGATGTCCAGAACACACCACTATACAAGGCTACCATACAGCCCAGCGGATGTCCAGAACAAACAACTATACAAGCCTACCATACAGTCCAGCGGATGTCCAGAACACACAACTATACAAGGCTACCATACAGCCCTGCGGGTGTCCAGAACACACAACTATACAAGGATACCATACAGCTCTGCGGATGTCCAGAACACACAACTATACAAGGCTACCATACAGCCCAGCGGATGTCCAGAACACACAACTATACAAGGCTACCATACAGCCCAGCGGATGTCCAGAACACACACCTATTCAAGGCTACCATACAGTCCAGTGGATGTCCAGAACACACAACTATACAAGGCTACCATACAGTCCAGCGGATGTCCAGAACACACAACTATACAAGGCTACCATACAGTCCAGTGGATGTCCAGAACACACAACTATACAAGGCTACCATACAGTCCAGTGGATGTCCAGAACACACCACTATACAAGGCTACCATACAGCCCAGCGGATGTCCAGAACAAACAACTATACACGCCTACCATACAGCCCAGCGGATGTCCAGAACACACAACTATACAAGGCAACCATACAGTCCAGTGGATGTCCAGAACACACAACTATACAAGGCTACCATACAGCCCAGCGTATATGTCCAGAACATACAACTATACAAGACTACCATACAGACCAGTGAATGTCCAGAACATACAACTATACAAGGCTACCATTCAGCCTAACTGATGTCCTGAACACACAACTATACAAGGCTACCATTCAGCCTAACTGATGTCCAGAAAACACAACTATACAAGGCTACCATACAGTCCAGTAGATGTCCAGAACATACAACTATACAAGGCTACCATACGGTCCAGTGGATGTCCAGAACATACAACTATACAAGGCTACCATACGGTCCAGTGGATGTCCAGAACAAACGACTATACAAGGCTACCATACAGTCCAGTAGATGTCCAGAACACACAACTATACAAGGCTACCATTCAGCCTAACTGATGTCCAGAACATACAACTATTCAAGGCTACCATACAGTCCAGTGAATGTCCAGTGAATGTCCAGAATATACAACTATACAAGGCTACCATACAGTCCAGTGGATGTCCAGAATATACAACTATACATGGCTACCATTCAGCCTAACTGATGTCCAGAACAAACAACTATACAAGGCTACCATACAGTCCAGTGGATGTCCAGAACACACAACTATACAAGGCTACCATTCACCCTAACTGATGTCTAGAAAACACAACTATACAAGGCTACCATACAGTCCAGTAGATGTCCAGAACACACAACTATACAAGGCTACCATTCAGCCTAACTGATGTCCAGAACACACAACCATACAGTCCAGTGGATGTCCAGAACACACACAACTATACAAGGCTACCATACAGCCCAGCAGATGTCCAGAACATACAACTATACAAGGCTACCATACAGTCTAACTGATGTCCAGAACACAAAACTATACAAGGATACCATACAGCCCAGCTGATGTCCAGAACACACAACTATACAAGGATACCATACAGCCCAGCGGATGTCCAGAACACACAACTATACAAGGATACCATACAGCCCAGCGGATGTCCAGAACACACAACTATACAAGGATACCATACAGCCCAGCAGATGTCCAGAACACACAACTATACAAGGATACCATACAGCCCAGCGGATGTCCAGAACACACAACTATACAATGATACCATACAGCCCAGGAGATGTCCAGAACACCCAACTATACAAGGATACCATACAGCACAGCAGATGTTCAGAACACACAACCATACAGTCCAGTGAATGTCCAGAACATACAACTATACAAGGCTACCATTCAGCCTAACTGATGTCCAGAACACACAACTATACAAGGCTACCATACAGTCCAGTGAATGTCCAGTGAA